TATATATTGTTTGATGTGTAATCACAGTGGCTCAACTCCCACTAAGGGTTTGCTTGCTGACTGAAGTTTGTACTCCACTGTGGCTATACTCAATGAAGTATTGAAGCTAAAACATCTTTGTAATTATGGGAGTAGGGAATTCAAAAGCTGACAAAGTAGGAATTTTAGGATGGGTTTATGATGTGCAACCTACTCTTCCCTTACTACACTCCCTGAAAAGGCCCTAATCCTCTCTGAGGCATTGAGAAAACATGAGTTATGAGAACCAGCCTTCTTAACAAGCTCTTTGGTATCTGCTCTCTGTCAGCCAGGTATAACAGTGCAAAATGCTGCCATTAAGAAGGACCTCCCTAATTTCAACGAGAATTGTAGATTGTTGTAGTGACAGGAGCCAAGTGACAGTGGGGAACTGCCAGAGCAAGGTGGGTGCAGAAGTTGTAATGCTCAGCAGAGACAACTGGTAAATAAAATGCTTTGATCCTAGCTAGGTGCCTATGCTCAGTGAGTAGGGCGCTGGCCACATACTCTGAGGCTGGTGGGTTCTAACCAGGCCTGAACCTGCTAAACAGCAATGACAACTGCAACCAAAAATAGCTGGGCATTGTGGTGGGTGACTGTAGTCCCACCTACTTGGGAGGCTGAGGCAAGACAATCACTTAAGCCCAAGAGTTTGACTGTGCTGTGAACTGTGACACCACAGCACTCTACCAAGGGTGACATAGTGACACTCTGTCTCAAAGGAAAAAAAAAAAAAGAATGACTTGATCCTAAGGATTTTATCAGTAGTTAAGTGATCACAGTGCCTTTTAGAATGAAATGGAAAGCACCAATCTATGTGTTAGGAAAATGACAAGACAGAAACTGGTGTAAGTTATTACCAGGGTAAGTCATAGCCACTTACCTAGTTTCCAGACCTAAGCCATTTCAACAGACTCGGAACCTCCTCATTAGATCCAGTGCCCTCAAGGAAGAACCCTGCAACACTACCACAACTATCTACTGTAAATTTTCTTCTCAACCTTCACCCAAAAGGATCTGCAGCCATCTGCTACAGGGACCACCCATAGTAGAAAATACCACCGGAAAACCTGACTATCAGACAAGGCCAAGCTTATTACTTATGTAGTAGGTATAAACATCATGACAGAGTTTTAGTAGTATTTTAGAAGGGACAGCCCAAGAGTAGATGTAGAGTTCTAGGATCTGGATTGGCATAGTTTGAAGTAGCTCTTACAATGCAGGGATCTCATGGAGTTGCTCAAAGTTTGTGACACAAGCCCAAAGGGCATGGGGAGTGCAAGCTGTGGAAGAGTCTTAATGAGAAAATAATTGTCTGAAAGGAGCTCAGTTTGGCCAACTGAGCCATCTATTGTCTTGGAAAGGTGGTTGATTGAACTGCCCATTTCTCAGCTAAAGCTAACCACACAGTCATGTTCTGATTCACAGCCTCATCTTCCCAGGCAAGAATTACTTGGTATAAATAGTAAAGTCTTGTTGATGCAGGGACCTTAGCTTTGAGTCCTCACAATCAAGCCAGATTAATGCAGATGATCTTCATTCTCTCTAGATGTTCACTCTACATTGACACCAATTCTTTGCAACCTAAAATACCAGTGAGACCAGTTAAAGTGACAATTTACAGTGATGATGGAATAAGAGGCAGCTAGGGATAAGTTTAAATCACAGTGGTCTGAGTACGTTTTTTAATCTACCCATGGGCTTACTTCACAGATTCTTAACATAAATTTGGAATAGACATATTCAGAAACTTGTACAGACCCCATATTGGCTCTCTGAGCTGTTGAGAAAATTCTGTGATGGTAGGAAGAACAACTTTTGGAAGCAAAATAAATACCTCATCCCTTAGAGAATTGCAGGTGTTAGTGCTACCATAATTTTGAAATATGCACTTCTTTTTTGGCCTGTACAGAAGGTGAACGGATCTTAGAAAATTACAGTACATTGTTGTAAAGTAAATCGGATTTTGGCGCTCACTGTAGTGGCTGTTACAGATGTGGTCATCTTTACTTGAAAAAGCCAGCACAAACCCTGACTCTGGATATGTAACTTATTGACCTGGAAAATTATTTTTTCTCTCTGACAACTTGTGAAGAAGATTAAAAGCACGATGTTTATTTTCAAGGACTACTGGTGAATCCTACAATCTTGTCCCAGAACCACATCATTTCTCCAGGTCTACAGAGCTCCAGATCATCTTAACATTACATAGACTATCATGCTCTGGGGACAACCCTTATGCATGTTAAGTCAGCCAGGGACAAAGTGGTTATGGTTGTAGAGACAGAGGTTATGCATAGACATGGCAACATGGATTTATCCTCACCAAGCTGGCCTGGTACCACTACCCTGAGTGGCTGATCCTCCACCAGCAGAATGCCATTCTGGGCCCCAATGTGGCAAATTTCCTTTGACAAATCAGATGGCCATATATGAGCAGGTTGATTATGTTGGATCCTTCTCATCATGAACAGGGTAGCAATTTGACATCACTGGAATAGATATCAATTATTGATTTCAATTTGTTTCCCTTACACATAATGCTTCTGACAGCACCACCATACAGGTACTTACCAAATGTCTCAGATACAATTGAGGCATTCTGCATGACATTCCTTTTGATCAACAAACTAATTTCATAGAAGAAAAAGGGCAGCAATAGACTTATGCCCATGGAATAGACTTTTCTGTCACCCAGAAGCAAGTGGCCTCTGTTATGACACCAAGTGCCAGTTCAGAAAAAGACCCTGAAAATATGGGGAATGGGAAGTGGAAGAAGAAAGTTATATATACCAATTATGTCTTCATGACCAATTCGTGTATTGGAGAGGCGCATGTGTTTTTGTGTGTGAGCTAATTTGTCCTTCTCCTCCTGCGTCCTTGTATTTTAAGTCCTGATTATTGGTGGTGGCTAACATGCAAAAGAGATGGTGACTCAGAAAGAGGTATAACTAACGCTGCCCACAGAAAGGTGCAGAGACTGCAGAAGGATAGCAAAATTCTGTGCTTAATGGAAGTTCAAATATGGATAAAATGATGTATGTGGATGCTAAATGGCCAAAGGAGTGGGCCGGGTCAGTTTTCAAGCTATCACCTCAGCCGCAGACCCACAGTTCTGTGCTCTGGCTTGCAATGGCAGGGCCTCTCTGTAGTTGAGATTCCCACTGTAGTCTGCCAGTAGGAGCACTAGAAGGAACTGTAAGCCAGGATGAAAGAAACTAACTCTTCACAACCTCCTGTATTTCCTGTCATAATCATCCCAGCAATGTTTTCTCATCCTGAAAGTGGGTTCCGCTTGGCTAGCTTTATTTTCACACCTCCAGCACCAGTCTCCTCTCACCCCCAGAGAAACAAGAACCAGCTGACTAGCCCCTGTGCTTCAGCAATCAGGACCCTCCTCTGAACTCCTGGTGTCAGAACCAACCACAAAGCACCTGCTTCTCAGAAGTCTGGGTCCCAGCTTTGCAAAGTCGTTCCTCTTCCCCTGGCTCTGGAGGTACCAGGCACCACCACAAGTTAGGCGGGGCAGCCCTCAGAGGTCAGGGCCTCTTCTGAAGTATGAACGCCTCGTGCTCACTGTCCACTCCTCAGACATTTGGGCTCAAGGGTTTTCTTGTCTGTTTTGGTGTTTTTTATTGTTTTTGTTTGTTTGTTTTTGAGACAGAGTCTCACTTTGTTGCCATAGCATCATAACTCAGAGCAACCTCAAACTCTTGGGCTTCAGCAATCCTCTTGCCTCAGTCTCTATAGTAGCTCGGACTAAGGCACCTACCACAATGCCCAGCTATTTTTAGAGACAGGGTCTCGCTCTTGCTTAGGCTGGACTTGAACCCGTAAGCCCAGGCAATACACCCGCCTTGGCCTCCCAGAGTGCTAGGATTACAGGTGTAATCAACTGCTCCTGGGCCCCTAAAATCTTTTTAAATGTGAGATCTCACTATGTTGCCCAGGCTGGTCTCAAACTCCTGGCCTCAAGCAATCCTTCCCCTCAACCTCCCAAAGTGCTGGGATTACAGGCATGAGTCAACACACCTGGCCAGCAATTCTTTACTTTAAATTTTCTGTTAACATAACTGATATGGTTATATTCCCAACTGGACCCTGACTGATATATAAATTATAAAAAATAGCTTTATTTCTGTCTTCATCTCTGTCCTAATCTTCATCCTCCAAGATGGGTACAGTTTTATTGTTGCAGAACTTGGAAGTACTGAAATGAATCTCAGCTGCACAGCACATTGGCCTGCTGAACAGCGCTGTAAAAAACGCTTTCAGAAACAGTGTACATGACCTCATGTTGCTGCTTTCTTCTTGCATTCATTCAACAAATGTTTTATTGAGCAACTGATAAGGCACTGGTAATACACAAATAAACAGGATATCACCCAACAGGGATAAATTCTAACAGTAGAGAATTTTTTTTTATTTCTTAATGGAGGCTTTAGAAATCCTCTAATGGAACACAGCAGGGGGCTAAGAACTATCCAAAAAAGGATTACAGAGGCTCAATTTCTGGCATCTACAATGCTTCCATTTAAAGACATTCATATTTATTAGTTAAGTTATCAATAAATCATATAGAAGGTATGTAAAGAGAACAAGACAATGCCTAGAAATTACTAAGCACTCAATGAAAAACAGCTAATACCAACACTTAAGAAATAGAGTAAATTTAGTTTAAGGCTATTATATACAAAAATAATGACAATAATAGTAAAGCATTGCTTCCTCATGGAACTTTACTTTTTCATGTTGTGATCTTTACAAAATCCCACAGATGTAGGGTAGATATCATGAGTCTCGTTATTTTTGTTGTTTGCACACGAATGTTCATGATGGGTTTACTTGTAATGACCAAAAACTATGAAAGCCCAGTAACCACCAACAGGTGAATGGAAACAGGTACTCACCAAGGTCAGTGATTTACCAACATTGTACATGTTGATAAGAGCTGACAGAGCCAGGCACCAGTGCCATGGGGTTCAGTGCTGGCTACCAATCTTGCAGTGGTCCAGCCCCTTCCTCAGTGCCCCCATCACATCCTGGTTCCTTAAGCTGTAAATGAGGGGGTTGAGCATAGGTGTAAGGACTGTGTAGAAGACAGAAACTACCTTGTCATGGCTGGGGGCCCAGTAGTGCCTGGGCCTCAGGTAGATGAACATGGCTGCCCCAAAAAAGAGGGAGACAGCTGTCAGGTGGGAGGAACAGGTGGCCAGAGCCTTTTTACGTGCCTGAGCAGAGTGAATTTGGAGCACAGTCCCCAGGATGCGAGCATAGGAGGCCATGATAATGGAGAAGGGAAGGAGCAGCATGAAGACACAGCAAGCAAAGAGCAGGGTGTCGAAAAGAGAAGTGTCTGCACAGGCCAGCTTCAATAAAGCTGGCACCTCACAGAAGAAGTGGTCCACATTCTTTGAGCCACAGTAGGGTAAGCTCATGGCTGCCGCCATCTGAATCATTCCATCTATTATCCCAAAGCCCCAGGAGCTCCCAGCAATCTGAAAACAGACCTTCTGGCTCATGAGGACGGGATAGTGAAGTGGGTGGCTAATGGCCACATAGCGATCATAAGCCATGAGTCCCAGCAAGAGTCCCTCAGATCCTATGAAAGAGACGAAGAGGCCAATTTGTATGCCACAACCCACAAAGGAGATGGACTTCCTACCAGACAGGAAGTTGGCTGCCATCTTTGGCACAATGGTACAGACCAGCATGAGGTCCATGAGGGAGAGCTGACTGAGGAAGAAGTACATGGGTGTGTGAAGCCGAAGATCTGTGCTGATGAGGCAGATGAGGAGGACATTCCCACAGAGGGCCACTGTGAAGACCACCATAATTGCAGAGAAGAGGACAAAATCAGTTGGACTGTGCGAGAAGATGCCCAAGAGAATGAAGCCATCTGTGGAAGACTGGTTTCACCATAATGCCATGGCTTAGTCATTCACAGTCACCTGAAAACACGGGCAGAAAAGTTTTGAAGTTGAGTGACATGTCTCTATTGATCTCTGAATCCTTCTTCAGTCAGATATATCTTTGTAATTCATTGGAGTTCACTAACATAACTCTGGGGCATTCAAGGGGACATTCTTTCATATTCTCATAACACAGATGACAGGATCTCAGCTAGTTCATGGAACTGGACTGCATTGGTATGTATCCACACCAGGAAGAGTAGAAACGGGATTATTTTATGTGCAATAGGACAATCTTCCCTCAGACAAGTCTTAGCTTTACCATATGACACTGAGTCTTTTAAACTGGGATCATGGGGCGGCACCTGTGGTTCAGTGGTAGGGCACCAGCCCCATATACTAAGGGTGGCAGGTTTGAAACCAGCCCTGGCCAAAACTGCAACAAAAAAATAGCCAGGCATTCTGGCAGGCACCTATAGTCCCAGCTACTTGGGAGGCTGAGGCAAAAGAATCACCTAAGCCCTAGAGCTGGAGGTCACTGTGAGCTGTGATGCCACAGCACTCTACTGAGGGCAACAAAGTGAGACTCTGCCTCTAAAAAAAAAAAAAAAAAAAAAAAACTATGTACTTTTGGGGTTTTCATGTGCCTGCATGAGATGTGCCTCCCACAAATCTTGTTACAAGGTCGGAACATTACCCGTCTGACATGAAATAAAAAAATAAATAAACTGGGATCATGTGGACTTGATTAACTCTCTCAGCAGGACTTGGACTATTTCATGCCTGAGAGATCATTTATATTTGTAACGATCAGGGAAGGAGACTTGAGGTCTTCTTTAGTCTTCATCTTGTTCAGGTCAAAACTATTGGAACCATTTTTAATGCTTCTACATTTTTTTTATTCCCTAGGTCCAAATCACCAGAAAAATCTCTTGGCTCTACCTTTAGGGTTTCTTGGAGTTTAAATAGCTCTTACCACCTCCATCATAATGATCCTTATCCAGCCACTGTCCTCTCTCACTGAATTGTTGTCACCTCCTATCACCTGGTCTCCTGGTTTCTGTTCTTGAGCCCTTGGGTCTATTCTCATAGCATTTCCAATGGTTCTGCTAAAATGTAAGTCATATGACATAACTCTCATGGGAAAGCATATCAGTGACACACAAATTACTCCAAACAATGCCAAGTTCCTTATAATGGCAAGCAAAGCCCTATCTCATGCACATACAAACACACACACAAACACAGAGAGACAGAGACACATAAAAACACACAAACACACACCCACCCAAGCACCTCTGAACTGATCTCTGACCTTCCCCCTTTAACCCCTGTGTTTCCTCAAGTGTCCTTGGACTGGACACAGCCCATCTTTGTTCCTTTGCATGTTTTTGCTTTCCTCATATTTCTATCCCTCACCTGCTTCATATCTTTACTCAAATGGTGACCCTTTTAGATTAGTGTTCTGTAAAGACCATATTAAAACATCAAATATTGGGCCAAGCACTGTGGCTCATGACTGGCTCACCTCCTAGCACTCTGGGAGGTGGAGATGAGAGGATTTCTTTAAGCTCAGGAGTTTGAGACCAGGCTGAGCAATAATGAGACCCAGACTCTGCTAAAAATAGAAAAACTAGCTGTGGGTCAGTCCGGGTAAGTTCATGTAGTCCCAGCTACTTGGGAAGCTGAGACAGGAGGATGGCTTGAGCCCAGGAGTTGGAGGTTGCTGTGAGCTATGACACCACAGCACTCTACAAAGGGCAACAGAGTGAGATTCTGTCTCAAAAAAAAAAAAAAAAGAATCCCTCCACTGCCTGGCACTCTCAAGCCCCTTCCCTTCTCTGGTGTTCTCCACTGCACTTACACCCTCTGACACACACACATATGTGTTTGTACTTTGCCTGCCTGTGGAATTCCACCAGAATATGAGCACCATTATGTTCACCGTGATGTTGACAGCCCCCAGAGTGGTGCCAGACTCACAGTGGGATCTCAGTGCATAGGTGTTGACTCAGAAAAGTAATAAGTCAACTAACACTTCAACACAGTATAAAGTGATAGATGGGTGCAATTTCCTCCTCCAGCAAACAGAAAGGTCCCACTTAATAACCTTGACCTGGATATCATAGGAGTTCACTATTTGATTCGTTTCTATGAGGAACAGTGAGTAACAATGTAAGAAATATCTTCAGGTGTTTACAAGGACAAGGATGCACTCCATGAGTGAATGGCTGTTGGATCTGTGAGGGATTGGTGTGCTGGTGTATTTGTGTCTGCCTTACAACACTGCAAAGATGAAGCAAGGTGACTCCCCAGGGCCTTGTAATCTCCTTGTAATCTGTGAAGACCTTGGTTAATTTCCTAAACTGGGATGGGCCTGCCCAGATCTGCTACCACCCAACTGGCCACTTGAGCTGTGTCTCTATAGAAGGGAGCATGTCCCAACTTGTGCCCATGAAGGCATGCCCAGTGATCCTTGCCACCAGTGACACCTGATGTGAGTGAAGGGGGTTTCCTCAGTAGTGAATGCTGTCCCCACAGCTTTCAAGCACCATCTCTGCCATATGGGCCCCAGGCTACACCAACTTGTAAAACAAACTGGGTCCTCCCTAGACTTCACAGCAGAAGTTCCTCTTCCTGTGCTGAAGATGCCTGGCCCTGCCTACTGTGTGCAGGGGCACTTAGTCACATGAACCTTCAGGCATCCCCACTCCCTCCCTTCCTCACTTATACTACAGTGCTGTAAGGCTGAATAATGACAACTATCCTGGCATGCAGAGCCTGATGCCCCCCCCCATGTATCATCATCTCCCCAAGCAGACCTCTTGTGCCCCCTTGAGTACACCTGCTCCCCTCCAGCCTCCTCAACTGGTAGGGCCATCCCCACCAGAAAAATTGCTGAGTTAATCCTACTGTCTCAGAGAGCCTCTGCTGAGAGGCCCTGGCATCTCATTGGCCTGAGGGGTACAGGAGGCTCTGAGACTAGGACTCCAGAGGCTCCATGGGAATTCTCTCTCCAATGCCTGGGCACCTGACTGATGACTTTTTGTAAATAGGTCAAATACACACATGATACAAAATTCTATAATACAAAGTGGTACACAGGGAAAAGGAGGTTTCCTCCCATTACCATTCTAACAGGAAGGCCACTGTGACGAGCTTCTTAGGCAGCCTTGAAAAGCGTTTAAAGGCAGAGACGGTCTCTTTGACACACACACACACTACATATAATCTTACTGCATCTTAGCCATCACTTCATAGCTGCATATAGGGAACTGCCTCATTCTTTCAGTAGCTACTTGGGCCAACCCAGACCCCTCTCCTCACATGCACACCCCAACCACCAAAGAATCAAAATACACTCACTCTCACCTCTACTCACCCCTGCTGGCTCTCACATGCCTGCACTACCTTAACCACTGTCCATGATGACAACAATGGCCCTCAGGGGACTGGCCTCCCCATCTATGCCTTCTCTCTGCACCCTAGTCAATTTGCGCATGACACTAGCCTGAACTCATCTGTATAACATAGAATCCAAAGTGCTTCCAGAGGAAAAGCAGGTCTCTCTCTCTCTCTCTTTTCTTACTTAAGGCTAAAAGCAGGCCTCTCTTCAGCACAATTTTCCTTCTGCTCTCCAGACTTCATGATGCTCCCACACTCTGGGGGTCAGCTCTCTCGCTTTCCTCCTCACAGGAGGCTCTTTCCAGACAAGGGACGAAAGACTGAGAAAAGACACAGCTCTAGAAAGTGGATCCCCCTTCCTTCCCCTTCCCTCCCCTCACAAAGGAAAAAAGCAACAGCAAAACCCTACTAGGGGCAGACACTAAGAGCAGAGAAAGCGTGCCAGAGGAGCAGAAGTGAGGAGACACCAGCATGTGGCAGCAGGAACTGCAGGGAAGCCAGGAGGGTGGGAGGAGAGACCCTCACTCACCTTGGGGGGGGAGGCTCTGCAGGAACCCAGGGCAGCCCTGGAGGCCCTGGCATCAGAACATTACCACATCCCTCTCCTGAGTTTGCTGTCACTGCTGGGGGGAGGAGGAGCCCCAGCTCTGCCCTCCTTTTTCAGCCTCCAGTGACCCTCACCAGGCTGTGGGGGCCCAGGTGCCACAGCCTTCCTGAGGCCCCTTTAGGCTCAGTGGGGTGCAGACCCATGGTGGCCCTGTCAGAGGGAGGAGGACATGCAAGCAGGGGTCAGTGGTGGCAGGTGGGGACAGAGGCAGTGGCTGTGCATCACCTAGCACAGAGGCCACATCCTCCCACACACCTGCCTCTCTCTAGGGCTGTCAAGCCCCATCCTGCTGCCCTGGCAGGAACTTAACACAGAAACAGAAGGGGGTGAAGCTGACACAACTCCCGGGGGGCCACAGACTCCAGCCCCTGAACAGGCTCCCAAGCCTGCAATTAAGAGGCTGGAGGAGGGAGGCTGGGAGGAGCAGCAGCAGAGCCAGTGGGGACAGGCTGAGGGAGCCTAGCTAGGGGAGGGAGGACACAGGGCCCAGAGACCAGGCTTGCAGAAGCACAGGGAGATTCCTGGCACCCTGCCCTGCCCCTATGTCTCACTTCCCTAGTGATCCCCAACCCCCACAGGGTCTCCACCTGTGGCTGCTCCCTAGATCCTCCCTGCACCCCCATGATCCACACCTGTCCTTCACCATGACACCCATGGTGTCAGTCTACACCTGTTGGTGGTCGTGATTTGTGCAGAGCCCTGGGTGAGGTGCTATGTTCAAGCCAAAGGTGGACACTGGACACAGACCTGGCCCCGAGGAGTTTGTAAGCTTGTGGGGGGTACACTCACAAGAGTGTGGCATGGGAGCCTGGTGTTGTCCTCAGGTCAGCGCCCTTCATGGATGGCTGTGCACAGTCCTATGTCCACAGTTATTGTGCTGCCCCTTTCTCCCTGGTGTGGTCGTGCACAGCACTACCTTCACTCTCCGGACTGTCCAAGTGGGAGGACAGATTTCTATTGTCACTTGTTGTTTGGCTTTGTGTCCCCTAGAAACAAGTCATTTTTC